ATGGGAACTGGAACTCCAGAGGCCCAGGATGCCTTTCAGTAGCCGCCAGACCGCTCTGCCTGCCCCCATTTCTGCCTGCCCCCATCACCAGCTCAGCTCCCCCTCCTCCAGCGTGGCAGACCAGCCTTTTAAGACCTTTCCAGACACTCCACTTCCAAAATCTGGCAGACACGTTTCCTCGCCCTCCTTGCCCTTCATTAGAGAGCCCAAAGGATCTATCTAGGGCCCTTGGGCATGGGGAACATTTTCACATGGATACTAGATTAAGATGAAAGGTAAAACCAAAAGCTGTGTATTGGGGCATTCAGGATTATATTCTTGGTTACTCAAAAGGCTCCAAGCTGACGATCATAGTTTGAAGCCAGCCCAGGCAGGAAAGTCTGTGAGACTCTTATTTCCAATTAACCACCAAAAAACCCTAAGTGGAGCCGTCCGTGGCTCAAGTGGTAGCATGCTAGCCCTGAGCTTTTGAAAAAGCTAAGGGACAGAGGTCTGGACCCTGAGTGTAAGCCCCAGCACCGTGTAACACACACCAAAAATGTAAAAGCCACTTTCAGAGAAAACATCCCTCATGTGGGGTAAAAGGCAGGAGAGGGTCCAGCAGGATAGGAGCTACTTGTCTTGGAGAGAGAGGGGATCCATGCATCCAAGCACTACTGGGACAGCTGCAGAGGACTTCAAGTCCAGCTGGCCCACTCAGTGCTAGGACAGGTACAGAATCAATGGCTACCTGCTGAGTGACTGAGTCCTCTGAGGGCCACAGCCCCTCCCCGCAACACCTCAGCTCATGGCAGGGTCTCTCCAAGTATCAGAAAGCCTCAAGGACAGACTGGAGCTCAGTACTCCAGTGGCTCTGTCACTTATCAGTAAGGGTGCTGGCAACGCTGAACTAACAGCAGCCAGCCAAGGACCCTCTGTCTAGCTAGACCTGGCCTGGCCGCTGAGCTGGGTCAGCCTGCCGTTGCATGGAAAGGCTGCTGGCCCGGCTTGTCTCAGCCTAAAGTCGGGTCACCCGCCTGCCGGGCTGACTTTTGACTTGCCCTGTCTTTGTCTCTTCTTGGTCAACTCATTACTCCTGAAGGCTAGGACTGCTTTTTCCAGGGCTTGTTTACCTGGAACAGACCAACAGAAATGAAGGGAGAGGGGCTTGGAGACCCCAGGAGGGTCCAAGAAAGACAGGAAACATAGTGCTGGGTCCATGGCTTCCAACTTTACATCACCCTATGAGGATGGATACTCTGACATGACACCTACTTTAAAGTTTTTTGGGTGTAGTTTTGTTTTGTTTTTTGGGTTCGGTCATGGGGTCTGAACTCTGGGCCTGGGCACTGTCCTTCAGCTCTTCAGCTCAAGGCTAGCGCTCTACCACTTGAGCCACAGTGCCACTTCCAGCTTTTTTCTTTTTTGCTTATGTGGTGCTGAGGAATCAAACCCAGGGCCTCATGCATGCAAGGCAAGCGCTCTACCACTGAGCCACCTTCCCAGCCCTTTTGGGTGTTTTTTGTCAGTCATGGGACTTGAACTCAGGGTCTAGGTGCTGTCCCTGAGCATTTTCACTCAAGGCTAGTGCTCTACCATGTCAAGCCACAGCTCCACTTCTGGCTGTTTCATGGTAAACTGGAGATAAAGAGTCCCATAGACTTTCCTGCCCAGGCTGGCTTTGAACCACGATCCTCAGATCTCAGCCTCCTGAGTAGCAGCTAGGATTATAGGCAACAGCCACTGGCACCCATTTTTTTTTAATAATTATTTGGGCTGAGAATGTGGCTTAGTGGTAAAGTGCTTGCCTAACATGCATGAAGCCCTGGGTTCGATTCCTTAGTACTACATAAACAGAAAAGGCTGGAAGGGGCACTGTTGCTCAAGAGGTAGAGTGACCAAGTGCTGAGTCCAAGCTCCAGGACTGGCAAAAAATAAAATAATAATGATAATCAGAATAATTATTTGTAAGAGGAAGAGGCAGGAGGGAGAAGTTTCTTTTATATTTTACTTTTGTAGTATCAGCAATTGAATTCTAGGCCTTGCACTTGCTAAGCAAGTGCTCTACTAAATGAGCCACACCCCTTGTCCAAAGGATTGCTTTTGCTTTTGTGTGTGTGTGCATGCACATGTGTGTGTGCGCACTGTGAGTGCACACGTGTGTGCTAGTACTGAGGCTTAAATTCATGATCTGAGAGCTGTCCCTTAGCTTTTTGCTCAAGCCTGGCACTTTACCACGTAAGCCCTATCTCCATGTCTCCACTTCTGCCTTTTTGGGGGGAACTAGAAGTAAGATTCTTATGGACTTTTCTTGCCCATATTGGCTTCAAACCTCAATGCTGAAATCTCAGCATTCTGAGAAATTAGGATTTAGACACTGATGCTCAACATGGGGTTGCTTTCTTGCTGTTTAAACCCTTCCAGTATCAACACACATCTATACAGCACCTACTACTACATATGAGAACCACCCTTGTCAGGTCCACAGAGAACTGTGCCATGTGTGTGAAGCCCTGAACTAGGAACCTGGAGACAGGTCTAGCTGTGGCCTTTCTACCCCCTGTATAAACTGCTATCTATCCCTGGCTGAACTTGGGAGTAATGATAATCACCTTGCCCCCACCGAGATGGTGAGTCTATGTAATGAGTGTGGAAGAGGCCTTCTAAGGACTTCTTGCTTGGGGCTGAAAGAAAAAAGGGACCAGGCTCTCTTTTCCACCCTACAAATAAGTATACTTATCATTGGGGTACTAGCAAGTGTTACCCTAAACTCCTTTAAAAGCTTTATTCAAATACTGGGGGCGGGGAGGGAGGGATGGGATGGCCCATAGACTGTTTGATTGAAATTTTTGTAATTTTAATTTTGCAGAGTTCTTTTTCATAGTTTGAAGCCAACAAAACTCTTTTTTTTTTTTTAAGTCTCAAATATTTTCCTTGGCTATGCCCATAGTGAGCCCAAATGGATAAAACAGCCCTCTTGCCTGCCTCCAAATCCCCACCCCAGTTTATTTGTGAAACTGATACAAGATTTTCCAGGACCTTGGGATATTCCCCAAAACAAACAGGAATAACTGGAACGTGGGCTACAGATGGGAAGACATGGTTCATGTGTAACGCAGAACTGAGAAACCCGATGCGTACAGACAGTTCCATCCTTCCCCACCCCAAAAACATCTCCTCACTTACCCAGAGAGCTGTGGTCATGCTTCACTTTAAGTCAGTTGTTAAAAGAAACAACTTCCCAGTTTTGCTATCTCCTCACCTCCTTCCCCCTAACACATTTGGACTTTTGTATAGTTCTTTAATAAAGGTAGGATTTCTGTCCCTGGAGACTGCAGATTCAGTGGGTATCTTCCCAGAGGGATCCCACTTCTTCACCCACAAAGTCCCAAAGACCTTCTTCCCCAGGGAAAGGATCCAGGCCCTCCAGCTTTAGTCTCCTAGTTGACAAGATCCAGTGATTTTGAAAAAGTTCTTGATTCTGTTCACATACATATTCTGGCAAGTCACCCTAGGCACTGGTGACTCAGACCTGTAATCCTAACTTCTCAGGAAGCTAAAATCTAATAAGGATCACAGTTCAAAGCCAGCTGGTCAAAGAAGACCATGAGACTCTTCCCTCCAATTAACCACCAAAAAGCTGGACGAAGTGTATGTAGCTCCAGTGGTAGAGCAACAGCCTTGAGTGTCAAAGCTAAGCAAGAAAGAGTATGAGGCTCTGAGTTCTAGCCACAGTGCTGTAGTAAGGGGTCTCATAGCATTGAAGCCTAATAACCCAGTACTTCAGTCCCCAAGCTAGCTAGCTAGGTGCTACAGATCAAAGTGTCACACACAGCTGTTAGGCGAGTGAAAGGAACTCAGCCTAGGGTTTCTTCATTCCTGCCTTAGTGCCCACTGAGCAGCAGCGAGAGAGCACAGCCCTTGTGGGATAACATGACCATCTGGGGTGGATTGAGAGCACAGTTGCCTGGAAGGGATAAGGAAGGAACTGGGTACACAGCTGAGTGGGAATGAGGGCACTGGGAGGGAAGAGGATACAAGATCCTGCTTTTCCACCCTCTCAGAAGAGCCCCCAGCTACCAAGCTATGATCAGAGGAGAAAATCAAAGACAAGAATCCCAACCAAAGCTCAAGCTGGCTGGGCCGGTTCTCTTCAACTTGTCAAGCCCGATCCCCCCACCCCCATTCCAGGTGGAGCTGGGACCCAGGGGCCCCCTGTTCAGTTGCCACCCAAACAGGCTCCCCACCCTAGCCCTAGTGCTTTTCTCAGAGGCTGGTCCTAAACTCCTGAACCCTGTGTTTCCAGGTAGGGCTGAAAGAACTCCGAGGAGCTTCCCAGGGAACCTAAAAGAGGCCTGCCTTTGCCTCCCCTTCCCCCTCCCCCTCCCCACGCCAGGAACTATAATCTCTTTTGGGCTCAGACTAGGGATCTGACTGGAGTATGGGAGGTAGAGACTATTTTATTAGACAAATAAAGACATCCTTGGGCGCTTAGTGGCTCACACCTGAAATCCTAGCTACTCTGGAGGCTGAGATCTGAGGATGCTATAGTTCCAAGCCAGTCAGGGTAAAAAAGTCTTATCTACAATTAACATTCTTATCTTCAACTAACCAGCAAAAAGCAATAAGGGGGGGAGGTAATGATTCCAGTGGTAGAGTGTTGCTAGTCTTGAGTAACAAGTAACAAAGCTCAGTCCCTGAGTTCAAGCCCCAGTATTACACCCAAAATAAAAGAAAAAAGAAAAAAACACAAAAGATAAAACCTATGGACACCCCCTCCATGTTAATGTACTCTCTCTCAAGCCTGCTGCTGGCCAGATATGGGCCTTTCTTTATAGTACTTTTGGGGCTCTCCCCAAGCTCCATGAACTCAGACCCCCAGTCCTGTTCCTCTCTTAGGAACACTGACTGAACTACCTCAGGATCTGGAGGCCGAGAATGATAGGAGGCTGGGAGGGATGGGAAGAGGTTGGGAGGGGAGGGGAGAGAAGAGGAAGGGTGGGGAGGGCGCCATCTCCTACCTGTTGCTGCTGGAAGTGCAGGAGCTCCGCGGGGCTCATTTCTCCATTGCTGTCTGTGCTGCCTGCCGTGTCCCTACCTGCGCCATCCCTGCCGGTGCTGCCTGCAGCTGTGCCCGCAGCCCCAGCCCCGCCATCGGTCTGCCCAGAGAGGCCGCCCACGCCGTTCTGACCAGATGGAGCAGACCTGATTGTCTCTGAGGCGGATTCCACCATCATGTCGTTCTAGCGGGACCTGGAGAGGAGATGAGGGGAGGAAAGGAAAGGGGCTGAGACTCTAGATGGGATCGTATCATCAGGTTTTACCCAACCACACAGCCAGCACCATTGCCAACCCCTGTACTCCCTCAGCTTCCTAGAGGGAGGTTGGGTGGGCGTCCCTCTTAATGCCACCCCTCTCCCAGGCAGAGGAGCCCTGGCCCCAACCTTTGTGGGGGTCCTAACCCAGTTCTGGCCTCTCCCTCGAGATCAGGGCCTTCTAGGTCAGGGTATGAAACGAAGAACTATTTTGCTGGGATGTTCCGGAAGGCTGTCCTACTCGCTGCCCCCCCCCTCCCCCAGGGGTGGACTGCACACTGGATCCGGAGTTCCCTCAGGGTACAGGGTAGGGCCTGTTTACTCAGGACAACCCCTAATCAACAAATGATAGTTAAGGCCGCTGCCATTGGTCCCACCCTGTCCCCAACAGGAGGCAGCAATGGCCCTAGGCCCACTTCTCATCTTCTTCGCTCCTACCCTCAGGCCAGCATCTTACTCAAAGTAGACACTCAAAACTACTACTTAGTAGTATAGGCCCACCATTCCCCCACCGGAGAAGAGGTTCTATCACACCCACTTTAAAGAAGGAAAAAAAGGATGCTGGCGGTGCAGCTTGGTGATGAGAGAGGTTTGCATGCTTGAAGGCCTGGGCTCCATCTCCAGCACCAAATCAATCCATTAGCAGTCCCCTCCTCAGACACACCAGAACTTCTACATGAACAATGTGACTGGGGGCGCTGGGAAGGTGGCTCAGTGGTAGAGTGCTTGCCTAGCATGCATGAAGCCCTGGGTTCAATTCCTCAGTACCACATACACAGAAAAAGCCGGAAATGGTGCTGTGGCTCAAGTGGTAGAGTGTTAGCCTTAGCACAAAGAGGCTCAGGGACAGTTCCTGGGCCCTGAGTCGAAGCCCCAGGACTAACAGTAAAAAAAATAAAAATAAATAAATAAATAAATAAATTATATATATATATATATGTATATATATATATATATATATGTATATATATATATGACTAGGATGGAGCTGGGCTGTGAGGAGCAGGTGACCTACATCAATCATGGAAGCCCAATATCCCACAGGTTTGTACACACAGACAGCAATAAAAATGGGGAAAGCTGTTCCCAGTCCTGATCTAGTAGTTCACACCTGTAATGCCAGCACTGCAGCACTTGGGAGGGAGGGTTTGGCAAAGGGTTTTGAAGTTGAGGCCAGCTTGAGCTACACAGCAAGCCTAAAGCCAGTATGGGGCCGGAGGTGAGGATACCCAAGAAAAGCTGTTCTCAAATTCACAAAATCCCAGAGTCCCCAAAGCTATCACCCCTTGAGAGAACTGTGGATTTCAATTCAACAGAAGGTGGTTGGTGTCTACTGTGTGTGAACTATTTACGCCAGGCCTCTTCATCCTTTTTTTATTTTTTTGGCAGGTCGTGGGGCCTGAACTCTGGGCCTGGGCACTGTCCCTCAGCTCTTCAGCTCAAGGCTAGCGCTCTAGCATATGAGCCACAGTGCCATTTCCGGCTTTTTCTGTTTATATGGTGCTGAGGAATTGAACCCAGGGCCTCATGCATTCAAAGCAAGCACTCTACCACTGAGCCTCCTTCCTAGCCCTCCCTCTTAGTCCTTTGAGGAGTAAAGAGAACTGGCATACAAGGTCCCTGGAAGAATAAGCCTCACCAGCCTCTTCTCCACCTACCTTAATTGTGATTAAGGGTAGAGACCCTGTTCAGAGGTTAATGACTTGGCCTAGATAAAAGCATACAGTAAGGCCCTGGAAAGCTAGCCAGTGTTCTTTTTTTTGGTTCAGAAGCCCTCTTAATGCACTAGGTGAATGAGGATCTTTGGTAATAGATCTAGGGAGAAGCAGGAAGATAAGGGGATTCCTTTCCCTCTCTCCCTTTGTTCCCCAGAGGATAGCTCACCCCCAAGAGGGTCCCCCTTCCACTCCCAAATTGTCTCTGCACTAGGCCGCTTGCTGTTTTTATCCCTGCTGGAAGCGGAGAGGTAAGAAGCAGCTCTGGGGTTGGAGGGGAAGACAGAGGACAGACAGCATGGACACATCGCTAGGGAGCCACACCGCTGCTCCCGTCCCTCTGATGTCCCTTCCCGGTGGATCTGCATGGCCTGCTGGGGGTCCCAGTGCCCTGCAGTTCTCCCTGTGGGTTCCCTCAGCTGCTGTTCCCACGCCAGAGTTCTGAGTTGGGCCAGGATGGGGGTGACGGTTCGGAAGAGATTGAGTACTTGGTCTTAGGCCTTAATGGCCATGTCAGCCCCAGGGCTAGTGGCTGCCAAATGATGGATGGGGTGGGCGCCATCCTCCACCCACCACAGCACAGGGTTCCAACCCCCTTCCCTGCAGCCACCCACCCTGGAGCCTGCAGGAGTGACTTCCCCACTCAGGCCTGAGCCCCAGCTACAGGGGAGGGGGGGGATGGGAAGGCAGCAGGGGCCCACACAGATCTCCCTTTTCCCCAATCCCGGCCCCAGTGGGGGTGGGAGAGCAGCTGCCAGCACTGAAGCCCAGTCTAGCTGCTCAGAGATCTGAAAGTCCTGGGCCCCAGGGGACAAAGCCCAGAGCCTCAGGGGTGTGAGCACACACTGGAGAAAGCCCCCCGGAGAATCCCTGCAGTGATTTCCCTGGGGTAAAGGAGACTGGTTCCTTCTAACATTCACGGGGACACCAGAAAGTTTAGATCAGACAGCAAGTTTGAAAAAGGGAGCATAAAGGCCAGGAAGATGCAAATAGAGGTGTCTTTTTCTTTCCTGTCTTTTCACTGGGGGGGGGGGGGGGGGGCGGCATAGAGAGACACCCAGAGAACAGCATAATTGCTGCAATGTGGCGTGTAATAATAGCTATTCAAGGGCTGATCATTCATATTAAACAGGGTGAAGCAAGCCTCTCATTTGCATGCTTGAGATTATATGCATTTTGAAAAGTCATTTCCGCAGGGTGTATGAATGGCATTAATTCCTGTGTGGCATGCTCTGCCCTTTCCCGGGGCGGGGCCTTCGCCCCACTGACACATACCCAGATACTTCCTTCCATACTCCTGCCCACCCACCAACACCCTCCCCTCAAACTTGTATGGCAGGCACTCTGCATCCTCAGTGCTGGGATCCAAGCACACTGCCAGCCTTGGCCTCCCACCCACCGCTCTACAGGGTGTTGCAACAGCACTGGGTGTTTCCCCACACTGTGTGAGACTGGGTGCTAGTGCCTGAGGCCCCCCTTGGCCAGCTAGGAATTGCAGGGGTGGGTGGAGTGTGTACGTGGGGGTCTGAGAGGCTTGGGTGTCAGTACCCTGTAACTTCGTGGCAGATGGGGGGTGGGAGCCCGACTGTTAGGATAAAGGCCAGGGCCTAGGCTCAGCCACAATTAACTGTAAATCTTTGCCTTCCAGGGTCTCTTGAGCCTCAGTTTCCCTTCTCTGCTCAGAAAGGTTGTTTGAAGGTCTCTTCTGACTTGGGAGCTGCTGGGGCAAAACTTCCTAGTCCAGCAAGGAGCCCCTGGAGTCATGAATACAATCTCTTCTCCCAATGGGCTCCAATGAAGAGATGAGCCCTGTAAAGGGGGTGGGGGGGGGCAGGCGGCCATCTTTCAGTCTTCTCCACATATTCCTACCCTCCTGAACCTCACTTCTTCCCCCATCACACCCTTCCTTTCCAAGGAGCCCCAGGGCCCACCTCCGGCACAGGGGCAGAAGCTCTGCGATGCGCCCACCTGTTTCCAAAACCCAACTACACGGCCTTGGGCAAGTCACCGCCCCTTTCCCAAGGCTCTGGGCTGCTTTTCACGGATGGGACGCCAGAGGTCTTTCCAGGACCCTGCAGCTGGGGCTGCTACTCTCACCACAGCCTGTTGCGTGGGGTGGTGCGTGGTTTCTGTGGAGTCTCCCGTGGGGGAGCCAAGGCACGAAGGGAGCCCGGCCGGGCCCTGCGCTGACAGCACGTGCTGTCGGAAGGAAGCTGGGCTAGAAGCACAGTTGCCTCTTCCGGGGTGGGGGTGGGGGGAGACTCTGGCGCCCTCGGGGGATCCCCCTGAGGCTCCTGCCTCTCAGAAGGGCCCAGGTGGCCCCAAAGCTGTGACGCCTTCTGGGATCTCGCCGGGGGTCCGCCCCATCCGGAAGTGACGAACCCCATTACTTTGGGGCCAAAGGGTGACCCAAGGCCTAGGGTGCTTTGGGAGGGGGAAGGGAGTCTGGGGGCCCCCCATGTGGGGAAACCTTTCATGCCTTTTCGCGGACCCATATGGCGTTGGGAGTATTAATTACCATAGCTTTTTAATTAACAATCGCTTAATCTGAGTTGTAACATTTGCCTCGACACCCTTCTCCTCGTGGCGAACCCGTGCAGCCCGCCCTGCCAACTCATCAATTAATTTTTATTGACGTTTTCTTCCTCAAACAGGCACAATACCAGGGTTTTCCAATTAACACCTCCGCGATCTCTAATTAGTGCAATTAACAGGCTGATGGACGCCCAGAGCCTACCCCAGAGGAAGGAGGAAGGGGGCGGGGCGCGCTGGGCAAGCAACTGGAGAGGGGACAGCACCCCAGCTCCTTCCCAAGACAGCCTGCCTGCGCTGATGGGGGTGCTGGGGACGTGACCACAGGTCATCTGAACTCAGGGCCAAGGCTGCCACTACTGGGGGTGGGGAGGAGAGGTAAAGCCCTTAATCCTAGCTACTCAGGAGACTGAGATCTAAGGAGGATGGTGGTTCAAAGCCAGTCCAGGCAAGGAAGTCTGTGGGACTCTTTATCTCCAACTGTGGCTCAAGTGGTAAAGTGCTAGCCTTGAGCAAAAAAGTTCAGGGACAGTGCCCAGTCTCTCAAGCTGTGCAAGTGCGCACGAACGTGTGCGCACATGCACGCGCACACACACACACACACACACACACACGCATGCCAGTTTTCAGATCTTCAGAAACCTGCCAGGTTTCTGAATGCCACCTGGACATCTTGACACTAGAAGTAGCA